GGGGGGGGGGGGGGGGGGGGGGGGGGGGGGGGGGGGGGGGGGGGGGGGGGGGGGGGGGGGGGGGGGGGGGGGGGGGGGGGGGGGGGGGGGGGGGGGGGGGGGTGCAGGACAGTATTACCATTAATTGGCAAAAACAATCTATCTAGACCTCAGCTTCAGTATAAGTGTTCTTAATATTTCAAATATTGTTTTTTTTTCCCCATTTCAAAAATTAAATAAATTGCATTGGTGTTCATTAAGCAGTGGCTGCAATTCTTGTCAGTATGTTATCATTTTAACACCATGTTTCTATCTTCATTCTAATCTATGAGTATTTTACAATAAAAGATTCTGATATGAACACGATCAAAATGATAACCATATTGAAATAAGAAATAAACAGAAATTGAGAAAGAAATCCAAGATCCATCCCGTACTCTCCTAGTTCCATGTATTTGGTGTGTTTGTTTATGATTTTTGATATTTTCCTTAATTGTATTTATTTGCTGGAATTATACTGTAATAATGTGCGAGTTTTCTTCCGTTTATGTTTTAGGGTTTTTCCACTTAAGATAGGTCTCTTGTCACCATTGTGAAGAAGAGAAATAGACAAGTATTCTTGTCATATTTTATTGATAATTGGCATAGAGTATTTACCAACTGCTTTCCTACCGCCCATATCTCCGAACTCCTTACACTTAACGAACTGTACTTTCCTCCAACAAACTCAAGGGAGACATTTCACCCAAATCACTTGAGGCAAAATTGTGAATTTCTGATTTCGCGGCTTACACAATACGATCTTTCCAATAGTGTAACCTCAGGATCCATTCTCAATGTTTCTCAGATGTAATACAGAGAACCATCTACCAGACATGTTCCCATCCTTTCAACCAGTGCTTTTCAGGTTTCACCACTAATGACCAGCCAACATTCCGCACTATTCATACCTTTTCAACATATCACATGGGTTTGGTTATTTTTAACCCAGCCCATCGAACTTGGGGTTTTCAACATTCAGTCTTACATATCTTCCTCCAATCAGCTTTGATTTAACACCACCAACTCAAACATCTCCCCACTTCACCTCCAATGCATGATCCTCTTCAAATGTTGCAGGCAGGAAGATTTTGATATTTGGTAATTTCGGCCAATTTATGGCTTTTAAATTCAACTTCGTAGCCTTTGCTTTTATTGAATTCATGGTTACCAAAACATGTCTTCAACTTTGTGGCAAGCCCCAAATCTGTGTCCGAGAACAATTGCTCTAATACTAATTTTCTAGGAACCAAATTAATATCATATTGCAATAAGAAAAAGGTTACACACTGGAAAATTTTGAGAGCTCTCTCCTGATCTCCCAATTCCAAGTTAGTTGGAACCTTTACCCAATACTTAATCTTTCAAGTTCCACATATCTCTTAACTCACACTATTAGTAACTGCCTTACTCTTCAAACCATACAATCACCCCACATACTAACTAACCCCACCTTAAACTAATTAAATCTTTAATGTATAAGATTGCTGACTGGAACTAACCTACTTCATCTCCAGATGCAATACGGGTACTAACTAAGTTGAAAAGCGTGAGATAAAAGAAAGATCCCTAAGAATTGATACCTATTGGCAGCTTTTACAGACTTCATTTAGCAAGTCTTTTTTTTAAAAAAAAAATACATCATAAACAAATAGAAAAATTTTCCTTCAGCACTTAAACAGAAAAATATACATATAATTATTACCAAGCTACCAATAAAAACGACTTCCAAGGTTTACGTCTCTGACAATATTAGCTGTAGCCCAATGTTTATTAGAAAAGAGATGAAACATGAACAAATTGTCATGTAGCTAAACAAAAAGGCTTATAACTTAGTTATAAATTGAAGGAAAATAAAAGGGAATATTCATTTTGCAATTGTACGAAGTAAAAACAAAAAAGAACTAAACCTGAGTCGCATGATAAAGAAAATTGAAGCTAAAGTTCCAGAGGCCATATCCTGCACTCTGTCTTAAGCTCACATCAGCTAATCTTTCCAACCACATCTCATACCTAGGCATTAAGGAACAGGCACTTATCAGTCTGAAAAACTACACACTGTTTGATTTAGAATGATTAATATATATTGAAAAGAAATCTATATTTACTCAGATATTATTGATAAATAAAAATAGACTGTACTTGCAACACTACTCTACCTTCCAAGTTCCTCCTTCTCAGTCCCATAAACACGAACTGTTCTGATCAAAGACAATGTTTCTTGTGCAACCTATAGTGGAAATTAGAATTTCTTTGATCCAAAATTTGGAACAAAACATCATCAAATATGTATAGAAAAGTATTATCATACGTCATTGGAAGAAGCAGTGACATCTTGGACAATCTTTGCTGCCTTCTTCTGATATCTATGATGAACAATATGCATCAAGATATTACTTATAAAAAATAGCTAAAAAAATCACACAGATATAAGGTTAACCTCATGAAGGCAAGAAGATATTAACAAACATGCATGTCGATCATAACCTGCCCAACACACACACACACACACACACACACACACACACAAAAAAAGTGTCTAGTGGAATAAAATGGCACTTCTTTGGTTATTTCACTAGTTAACAGGTTCTCGAGACTAAAAAGGATGCAGAAATAAGATCAAGAAGCAAGCCAAACTCCAAGTTGTATGATATTGCTTGAAAGAACAGTCCAACTATGAGTAAAATTAATTGACTCAGTTAAGTCCCTTCAAATTTTTCTGTAAAACATTGTCTGTTTTCCCCTTCCCATGCTTACAACTTAGTAAAAAAGGAATTCTTTGAGGGACACAAATTTTTTTAACATACTGTCAATTAAAAGATTGGAAGGAAAAAATGTTAAGGTGTCTGAACACTTACCGGCCATACACTAGCATAATTGCTCCTAAAGTGAAGCATATGATCAGTGTGCATAAACCTAGAGGCTTCGACAAAATAAGCAAATAGATCAAAGCACCACCCCCCTAGGAAAGAGAGAATTGTCAGAATGAGAATTAGTAACCTTGCAAGGGATCAGTTATTGGTTCACAAAAGAAAACCTGGAGAATGTTGCGTAGTATCAAATTAAGATCATTTCCAATGACTCTCGACACTTGCTGACAATCAGCTCCAAGCCTACTTGTAAGATCACCGACAGTTTCACTGTCAAAAAACGATATATCCTACAAGCATAAGGATTCCCAAATAAATTATCTTGAGAGAGAGAGAGATTTGAAGCAGCTTGATGAATTGCGCCAGTTGGAAAAGAAAGTTATAGAAGTTGGCTTCTTAATTATTCCGAACCTGTAGAAGAAGAGCAGAATAAAGTGTTTCTCTTGTTCTCTTGACCTGCAGATTATAAGAGACCTCCAGTCATTTTGAAAGTCACACCATATCATGTCGAAGAGAGCTAAAGAAAATATTAGCATTTTACCTGAAAAGCATCTGACTGTTCACTTTGGTTCAAAAGCAAATAAAAAGTAATTCACATATCATGAGGTCTGTTTTATAGCATGCAAGCCCGTGTACGAAATCCTCAGAAGGTATAATAAGATATCGGGATAACATAAAATCGAACCCTCATTCATTCAGCTATGTTCTATGCAGTAGAGACACTAACAGGCCTAAACATGGTTTTTTTCTCAGAAAAAATATGAGATGCAACTCACCAGGATCATGTTCGCAACTCCAAAACAGTAACCCCGAACACCACTGAAGTTCAAAACAACAAATAATCAGGTCAATTCATCAGCATTTCTGTTGCAGAATTCCATAAAAATTGTCACTTTGCAACAAATGGAGGAAAACTTATAGCTTAATATGAAATTTTTAATCTGGTAAAGGCAAATGATGTGAATAAAATTACACATTTAACAAGTTTAGTTTCAAAATCATTAGCATAGAGTTAGCATCAATGCTAGAGAAGGGATCTTTGGCCATACAAGATTTTGACCTGCATATTCCTGACGTGATACATAGGAGCATCAAGACTTGCACATTCCTGCGAAATACTGAGATTTTTCCGCTCTCAGCAGAAAAAATTGTCGCTGTTAAGAAGTGTGGTATGGAGATCTCCGAAAGCTGATAGATAAATGTTCAAGAGTCAGAAAACATTACAAATGCAGCTTGAGACTTAATCATAATCCGTCAAGATGACAATCTATAATTTTATCAATTGTATTGAAATGATGAACATCACGGGATGGCAGCCAAGATCAAGTGATTTAACCAAAATTTCTAAAGTAAATGTTGATTCAATGCAGAAAAATATTGTGATACAAGAATAAAACTCCATTAGAGTACCTTCCACATAAATTATTATACTAACTTAAATTTTTCAGAACTCATAATCAGATGCTGAAACTCAGATTCTAGACAAATGCCATGAAACACAACATTAAAAGCTAAAATAGAGAGACAAAGAAAGAGAGAGAGAGAGAGAGAGAGAGAGAGAGAGACCGCTGCAATAACCAACACAGAAAATGCAGTAAAGATTATCCAACGGTCTCTAGCAACCAAGTCCCACATCTTGCCAAGAGCCCGCGTCACAGTCACTGGCTCAACCGAAATTCTAACTTCATCTTCATCGGATAAGCTCCACCAACTTCCACCAGGCAAAATCGAACGTAGATTGCCAATCAATCCCCGAAGCTTATGTAAAATATCAAATTCAACTTCGCCATGGCCTGCTTCTCGCTCCTCCGAAGAACTCGGGACAGAGATTCCATATCCGTTAATCGCCGACTTCGGAGGAGGTAACAGGAACCGACAATTGATTGAGAAATGGTTCGAGCGAAGAATCTTACTGTTGATGAAAGGAAATCCTCGCGAACGAATTCTAGCTGCACGTTGCTTGCGATATAGCGAAAGATGGGGCCGAGGAACTTGTAGATTGCAAATGAAGGTCGACATGAATGGAAATCAATGGCTTTGGATTAAATCAATTAGGAGCTCAGATTTGTTATCTGAAGAATCATGGACGACTAGAAATGGCCGCTGCACTGTAACAGCACAAAGACCAAAATGCTCACTTCTCGCCGCGCCAGTAGAATCCTTGTCGACGGAACAATTTTTACATTAATAAATAAATAAATAAATAATAATAACGATATTCAAGAGACGACGTGTCGTCTACAATGATCAATCTTTCTCCATCTTGTATTGCTGGGATATTGAGACTTCCGCGTGGCGCCAAATTTGTAGTAAAAGACGAAAATACCCTCCTGAAATTCAAATATCCTTGTGGACTGTGGGTGGTATTTAGGTCTTTTGGGACTTGTCAGCCATGAAAAATATCTTGCTTGCCCTGAACCGTCTGTTGGAATCCGATATCTCAGTTGTTGACGTTGTTCTTGTTCCTCTTCATAGCGTGCTCCTTCTTCGATTATGGCGGTGGTTCTTGGAAATTGGGCTTTGTTGCTGGATGCAACGTCGCCTCGGATTGTATTGGCAGATCGAAAGGCTCGTCCATTGGCGCTTGACGTTGTTTTGAGCTTACACAAGAGAGACCTTAACGCGTATTATGCGGCGATTGACGGTACAAGTTTCGAATCAGATGGTGAGTCAAGGAGCCGAAGAATTGTGGCTCGTGGAAAGTCGAATTCGAAGAAGAACGGTGGCGTTGAGTTTGAGAGCGATGAAGAGGAAAACTGGGACGGTAATGGATTCGATGAAGAGGAGAAGTTCGATTGGGAGAAAGAAATGCGGAAGAGAGTGAAGGAGATAGAGGAGAGGAAGGAATTGGAGAAGAAGGCGGAAGAATTACAGAGTAAAATTGAGGAAGAAGGGAGCGAGGACGGAGAGGAAACTGAGGAAGAGAAGAGGATGAGAGTGAGAAAGGAGCTTGAAAAGGTCAGTTATCTGATTATTTCATTTGCAGTTTCAATCGGTTGTTGATTATCCGTTGATTTACTGTTCTTCCATTTCATTGCGCTCTTTATCCAATCATTCTCTCTGCCTTCCTATGCTGAAAATCTATATCGTTTGCTTGATGAACATTCGTGTTTCTGTAAGATGCAAAAATTGATGGCGATTAGGTGCTTTTTCCTTTCTGATTACGGCTGAATAGGTGGCTAAGGAACAGGCGGAACGAAGAGAAACGGCTCAGTTGATGTTTGATTTAGGTCAGAAGGCGTACGGCAGAGGCATGTACAGGCGAGCCATCGAGTTCTTAGAAGGCGCGCTTACAATAATTCCCGGATCTACTTTATTCGGTGGTGAGGTCAGTTTACTGCTCCAATGGAGTTTCAAAGCTTCTATTTAGAGCTATGAACCTCATTGTTGGGTGAAACACAAATTTTCCCTCTGGTTTTCAGATCCAAATATGGCTTGCTATGGCTTATGAAGCAAATAACCGCCATGGAGATTGCATTGCTTTGTACCGGCAATTGGAGAAGACGCACCCCAGTGTCAGCATCAGGCGACAGGCGGCGGATCTTCGATATATCTTACAAGCACCAAAAATCAAGATATCACAGGAGGAAATGGTAACAATACCTCTAATCGGTTCTGAGTACGACAGGTGATCAACTGATCTCTCTCTCTTTTGTATTCAACAAATATTTTCTGATCATTGTTTGGCCTAGTTTCAAGTACCTTGGAGCCTCATTGTTCTATAATTTCTGCTTTTGCATGACTTAGAATTTACCTTTTTGCATAATGTTTGTTATCATCACATCCTTTAGCTTTGATTAAGCATTTGGGCTACCAGGATGTCTGCCTGCAATTTCACTTTGAATTTTCCCCATCATTTTCTAACTTCTTGTTAGAGAAACTTGGTTAGCTGAAAGCCCCTAAAAGCCTTCTTTGGAAGTAACCGTTCAAGTCTACCGCAGATATTGTCCTCTGTGAACTTTCCCTTTCGGGCTTCCCCTTGAAGTTTTTAAAATGCATCTACTAGGAAGAAGTTTTCACACTCTTATAAAGAATGTTTTATTCCCCTCCAATTGATATGGGATCTCACAATCTACCCCTTCGGGGCCCAACGTCCTTGCTGATACTCGTTCCCCTCTCCAACCGATGTGGGATCTCATAATCCATTCCCATTCGGGGCCAACGTCCTTGCTGACACTCGTTCCCCTCTCCAACCAATGTGAGATCTCACAATCCACCACCATTCGAGGTCCGGCGTCCTCGTTGGCACTCGTTCCCCTCTCCAATCGACGTGGGATCTCACAATCCACCCCTTTGAGGCCGAATGTCCTCGCTGACACTCGTTTCTCTCTCCAATTGATGTGGAATCTCACAATGCAATTGGGAAAAGGGAAAGGAAAACAAAAAACCATGTCTGTTAGTGTGTCAGTCTGAAGTTTCTAGCTTCAGTTTGGTAGCCTGTTTTTCATTTAGATAACATCTTAAGATCTACCCATGAACGTTTCAACTCGTATAACATTTTTCTCCAACAATATAGTCTATATTCTTCCATAAACTTCACATCGAGTAACTCCAATGTTTCATTAAAAGTTTTGATGAAACGTGTAACATGTTCAGTCAAATGAAATGATTAGACCCTTTATGATCCTCCAACGGTTCAATTATTTGTCCATTCATATACCCAAATTGCAAATACAACAAGATTTTGAATGTCAATAACTTGTATGAACACCAAAACAACTAAAAAAGTATTTTGGTCCTTTCGTTTTCTGTATGCATCATTGTTCTAACCATTTCAAGAAATTCCTATTCTATACGTAAAATGTTAGCCTAAGACTAGTCTTTGTTCATCACGTTCTGCAAACATGGCGTATTGTACTTGCTTTCTGAATAGAGAAATGTTGAACATGCCTTAACTTTATTGGTCCCTGTTCAAAACCATGGCTGTCGCGGGCTTCTGGTTCTAACAAGAGTCGTGAATGATGCAGCTACGCAGCAACGTGGAGTGACAAGAACAAAGACAAAGACCAGAAGGGAAGCTGGTCGACCACGAATCAGCTGTCGTCGTCTAGAGACTATTTGGGGGACTTCCTTGTTTGGCGACCGCCAATTGGGTTGGGAAAAACCCAAGCCTTCTGGGTGGGGCTGACCTTGTGGCTGGGCTTGGTTGGTGCAGCGCTCTTACTTCAAAAGTGACCACTCCTCAAAATGTAAATATTATAGGTAATGCCTGATTATTCTCATTCGAATGTGACGGTGGATTTGGTTATATTTTGACGATCACTTCATACTATATAGGTTCTTAAACCATTATAAATGAATTATAAACGAATTTGTTTTGTTCTAATCAAAAAGTATTTTCATTTTGTGTTATAGCTCTTATTCTTATCTTGATTTCGCTTGTTGCATACAAATTTTTGACAAAAGAATGGTCGAATATTGGAATTTGTCCGAGATAGGTGCTACAATTAGTAACTTTAAAGGCGGAGAATAATGGATTACTGTAGGAATTTGACTCAATAAATATGAATCATTTTATGACCCAATAACACACCCCACTTGGATTGTCTGGTTGAATTTTTTAAATTGGTTGACATTTTCTTGGTCAAATCAATCCAATCATCTCAAAAATAGGGTTACAATCAACACAAATTGATCTTGTTTTTAATATTCGTAAGAAGATCAAGAATAGTTGAAGAATAGTTGATATCGGTAATCGATATTAGTGATGAGTTATAAATATAACACGTATGGATGATGATCAAAACTTTGTAAATAATTAAAAAAAAAAAAGCTCAACTAATATAAAGACTTGGGTTGTAAATTCTCTTCGGTTTGCTCAGGTCACCAACCTAATTTTAAATTGGTCTAAAAGACCTGGAGATAACACACAAAACAAGGCATTTGAGTTCTATATTTTGAAATGTCGATCTCATAATTACTGCCTAAATTCTTTTAGATTGTTTGCCAAAGGTCTCTTGCTTGCTAGGTTTCAAAGCCTTGCCTATTTATGACTCGGAACATTAAAGCAAATGACACACCTATATTTGTATAATATGATATGCCATCTATTACCATCCTCAATATCGTGGTTAGATTTTCATATTTACACTTATTAAAGTAAAAAAAATACTATATTTAAAATTATATTAAAATATTTATTTATTTATTTATTTATTTATTTATTTACTTATTTAGTCTAGGTTTATAAACAACCATGAGTACAAATATGTTTGTAAATTAAGCTTCATGTTAATTTTAAAAAAATAAAAATAAAAGAAATACACACACATGTTTGGGCTTGGGTGGAAAGAATTGGGCTTTCCCAAACATATTGGGCCTAAGACCAACAAAGGCGTTCCAAAGCCCACTACTTTCTAATATCTCGAGGCCCAAGTCTTATCCTTAGATATAATCCTCCAAACCCTACCGTCATTCCATCTCCTCCGAGCCGCCGAAACCCTAGAGAGTGTGTGTGAGAGAGAGAGAGAGAGATCCGCCATGACGACTCGTTTCAAGAAGAACAGGAAGAAGAGAGGTCACGTCAGCGCCGGTCATGGTCGAATCGGCAAACACCGAAAGCATCCAGGTGGTCGGGGTAACGCCGGAGGTATGCACCACCATCGGATTCTCTTCGACAAGTATCATCCCGGTTATTTCGGTAAGGTCGGTATGCGTTACTTCCACAAGCTTCGCAACAAGTTCTATTGCCCGATTGTCAACGTTGACAAGATCTGGTCCTTGATCCCTCAAGAAGTGAAGGATAAGGCCTCCAAAGACAATGTTCCATTGGTCGATGTTACGCAGTTCGGTTATTTCAAGGTTTTAGGCAAGGGTGTCTTGCCGGAGAATCAGCCTATTGTGGTGAAGGCCAAGCTCGTGTCAAAGATCGCCGAGAAGAAGATTAAGGAGGCTGGTGGCGCAGTGGTTCTTACAGCCTAGGTTTGAGTTACTTTTCGTTATAATAGGGATTTTTGTTCTTGGTGCATTTGAATGTTGCCTGTTTGAACTTATTCAAGATCTTTTTTATATAATTTAAGCTTTTATTGAATCATATGCTCCTCCTGATGCGATGTTTAAGTTGTTTTCTATATCTCTTTTACTGCTTGATCCTTAGGTTAACCGAACTATTCAACATTGTGCAATAAGAATGCTTATTACCACTGGTCGATCAGATTTTGATGATAACAAATGTGCGTTTCTTTGACTGAGAATTTGATGGATTTACTTATTTGTCTGGTCTAGTGATTCGAGAAACTGGTCTGGTTTTATCAAATATCTGTAACAATATTGATATGAACTTCCATTTTGTAACAAACACATACAGGGGAAGAACTGTTTATATTTTTCTGGAGTTTTTTTGACCATATGTTGATGTTCTTATTGCTTGCTGAGGATGCCTAGAAGCTTATAACTAATACCCATATGAAAGAGTTGAATACTATGTCGAATTTGCTGATTAATTTTTTTGGTCTAATTTACCCTTTCAAGTATGGCCTAATTGATTCTATCATAATGATATTTTGATTACAAGTTTTTATGTTAGAAATGAATTTTAACAAGCATTTGGGTATGTATATGTATATGTATATATTCAATTTATTCTACCATACAAGTTATGTGAATCTTTTAATTAGAAAGCTTAGGTTTTTTAGAAATGAACTCTTCTTTCAGATTTATAATTGAATTATATATGTTAAAAGTTTTTAATTTTGGTTTAAAATATATTAAATAGGTTGATGATGATTTATTTTATAGAAAAATTTAATATTTATCGATATATGTAGGTTAGATTTTTTTTTTAATTTTAGAAAATTAAATTCTTTTTTACTTGATATTTTCTTTTCTATTTTTTGTTCTCTACATTTTCATTTTTTTTTTCTCTTCTTTTACATTTATTCGTTTTTTTTTTTCCTTATTATTTTACAATTAATTATTATTATTGTTGTATTATATTTACTCCACTATAGGTATTTGATTATTAAGTTATAATATGAATAATTAATTATTCAATTTTAAATTTTAAACTTTTGTATAATTTTATTAATATCAGCTTTAATTTATTAAAAGTTTAATGTACATGAAACTCACTTTTGAAGAAAAAATGATAAGAAAATAAACACAATTATCAAAAATCTAAATTAATCTAAAATTAAATTAGTATAAGAGTACGAAAATTGGGTAAGAACGACAATGAAAATCAATTGGAATGAGCATACACAGTGTTTACTTGGGTTCGAAATTGTAATAAAATTAAAATTAAACAATATAATTATATTGTTTTAGTAGATTTTCTTATAAAAATATATATATAAATATATTTAAAGTTGTTGTATCAGGAAACAGAGTGTCCTCCCCATTTCCTTATTCTGTCCTCAGCCACAGAAGCCTGCATTTTTCATCATTCCAATTTTCATATATCTTCTAAATCAAACCAAACCAAAACAAAATCAAAACTTACCTCTTTGTTCCAGTTGGTTCGGTAAACTATGAACGTCAAAATGCTCGTTTGTATTATGATCCCGCTTATCATTCCATACCATATTCCCTGTAGTCAACACATCGTTAGCTTAGCAAAAATGATCTATCATTTACGTGAAAAAATCGAAAGCTGAAACGTGAAAATTGAAACAATAACTATGGACTTCTTTGACAATGCTTATAAATCTAACTGTTTATCGTATGTTTTCAAACGTAAAATTTATGCTCAAAACCTATCTCATACTGGTGGTAGGCCAGTCGGGTTGTGTGTCACAATCATACTTGTCCAAGACGTATTGTCTGCGGTAGCACATTGGACGTTTTGATTATACTTGTCCAGGACGTGTTGCCCATGGCCTCATGCCTGTTCCAAATCCCTTCTACTTGTTTTCATGTTAGACAAGTCTTTACTTGTGTTAATATAAAGGTCCTTTTTACTTGTTTTCATGTTAGACAAGTCTTTACTTGTTGTGTTAATATAAAGATATATGACCGGTCACTAAAATCATGTCTACACCGCTAAGGTTAAAATATCCCAAAATATATTATAGAAGATATAACTAATTGTCAATTTTTCCAAACCAGGCTATATACTATCGAAGTTCATTGTTGTCTCTATTCACTTTTAGCTTATAATATAGCCTTATGTAAAATTGTTTCAACCTATTTCCCCGCTCACATTTTCTAAAACATTTCTCTCAAACGTGACTCGAACATATCCCATATCTACGAAGTGTGAAATTCACACGGCTAACTTGTTCGCTAAGTTAGAACAAGTGACACACAATCGTTATTTCGCCATCGCAAGAGTGCAATTGTGACACCATACACACAGTAAAAACGAGCTTCTCAGAAAGCCAACTCGTTCCGAGATTTTCAAAAACAAAAAACGGGGCATTCTTATACGGGTGTATGAATTGAAAATGGAAGTATAAAACTAGAAGGACTTACCAAAACACCCCAATTGAGCACGAAACCCATCAGCAGACCCAAAGGAAGTCCGAACATATAGTAAGAACCAATGTTGACATAAGCCACAAGAGCCTGCCATCCCGCTCCAACCGCCACTCCTACACCATTTCATATTCACTTTCAGCAGCTCAATCACAAAAACTTCAAAAAAAAAAAAAAAAAAAAAA